TGTTGTTTTTTGAATATTTTGAAAAACTTTCTTTCAATACATGTCTGATTTTGAATTTATAAATTATTTAATATATAATGTTTAAATATTTTTATTGCATTTGAAATAAAAAAAATTTACACGCGACATAACACCTACCAGTCTAGTTAATTAAAAAAAAGGGGGACAAGTCACTGGAATCGAGGGCCTGTATCCAAAGGGAAGCCCATTGAAATGGATACCAAATATTGATCAAATCCAATTATCAATTAAAACCAAATATTGATTTATTTTGTTTCATAATATTATTATAAGAATGAGGTCCATTATAAGAGCATATAATATTGCGTGGAACTTAATATATAGTTTCTAATTTATATATTATTAAAGAGGCACGGAGAAGCGGCGACACACAACTACTCGTCCCCAGTAATTTTGTTGGTGGGAGTACATGCTTCAAAAATCACTCTATTCATATTTTTTTGTTTTTTATTTTTAATTTGATCGTGTATTTTTTGCTTAATTCTATAATTTAAATTAATAATAAATTATTTTTATGTTTTTTTATCATGTATTATGCTAAAAATAATAATTTAATTTAATAAAATTCATAACTAGTAAAAAAATTTATAGGTTAACTGGAGTTAATTTATCTATTTTTTTATTTTTTTTATTTTTTTATTTTTACTTTAAACTTGCCCAACTAAAAAGATTATATTAAATCAATTTTTATGTAATTTAATTTTAAATCTTGAATAAATAAAAAGGTGAATAGAGAGTTTTTAAATTTGAATTATTATATTAAATTTAATAATAATGGTAAAAAAATTTAAATAGTTCAATTTTTTATTATTTTAAATTTTATTTTAATCGAACTCGCTCATGGTGGGAGGGCGGGAAATAAATTAATACAAGATAAACTCACATCAATAAACTAAAATCAAGTTCAGTTCATAGTTAGCTGAACTTGCTGTAGTTAACGTTAGAAAAACAATAATCCCGCAGGTTCTATAAATTCACAACTCAACACAGTTGGACTCCTAGTCACCATGAGAGAACTCCATTAATTACTGATAAACTTGTTTGATATTATAGTTTTTTAAAATACTTTTTTATTTAAAAATATAATAAAATAATATTTTTTATTTTTAAAAAATTATTTCTATATCAGTACATTAAAATAATTTAAAAATATATAAAAATATATGAAAGCAAGGAAAAATAAAATAAAATTTAATTTTTTTAAAAAAAATTAAAAACATAAAAATAAACATGCTAAATTATAATGAGAGACAATTGTAAGAATTTATAATTCAGGGACTAGTGAGTCTCCTGCATGGATGAATAACTTGTTTTTAGTTAAAACTAGGTCATTGGTGCATGCTTTGCCGTGTTAGATCAAAATTTTTTTAATATAAAAAAAATTTAGGTATTACTAATATATTTTTCTAATAAAAAATAATATTTTTTTTTGTATATGGGTAGAGCCAATGTAACTTGATTGACATGATAAGTTTAAAAATAACTCAAATGATTAATAAAAACATAATGTAATATTAAAAAGGTTTGAAAATCATCTTTTTTTTAATATTAAAATGATAACATATTATATTAATTTAGTTGCCAAATCCATAACTCTAGTAATTAAACAATGATAATCTTATAAAAAAATCAAAATAAATTATGAAACTTAATTCACAATCAATCAAATGCTGAAGGATAAGATTAAAAAAAGATAATCTAGAGAGAAAATTCAAGTTAACTTGTCAATCTGTTATTTAGATTATGAGATCAAGATAACCTTATAGAAAGCAAATCAAAATAAATTATGAAATTTAATTAATAATCAACTCAGTGTTGTATAATAAAATAAAAAACCCAAGTTAACCCGATAAATTCATATCACATGTCACAAAGCTAAAATAATCTCATAAAAAGCAAATAAAACATTCAACCTAAGTTAATAAGGGTTAATCTATGAAACCTGCTACTTGGATCATCAGATAGAAATACCCTTATAAAAAGTTAATTAAAACAAATTATGAAATATAATTTTTATTCAACCCAAATATGGAAGGGTAAAAATGAAAAAAAAAAATCAACTAAAAAAATATAAAAAACGATACGAGTCAACTCGAGTTAACCTGCTAAACCAATAACACAAGTCATGAGGCTAAGATAAACTTTGTAGGTCAACCTTGATTAATCCGTTAAATCTACAACCCGAGTTATGAGGTTGATATAACCTTGTTCATATAAGCAATTTTGAAATAAATTATGGAGCACAATTCTCAATCAACTAAATATTAAGTGATAAAATTATTTAAAAAATAATTAAAAAATAATCAAAATCAACTTAGATTAACCTTCCAAACTTGTAATTTGAGTTATAAAATCAAAATAACCTCGTAAAAAATAAATCAAAATAAACCATGAAATCTGATTCACAATCAAAGAAATATTAAAAGATAAAATTAAAAAAAAACAATTAAAACAAAATGAGTGAATTAGATTAATTGTTAAGTTTATGACATGAATCATAAGACTTAGATAATTTTTAAAAAGTAAATTAAAATAAATTGTGAAAATCAATCCTCAACAAACTAAATGTTGAATGGTAAAATTAATATTAAAAAAAAAAGAGTTAACGTGTTAAATTTATAATCCATATTACGAGATTGTGATAATTTTATAAAAAAATAAATCAAAATAAATTATAACATTTAATTTATAATAAATTAATTATTAAGAAATAAAAATATAATATAATATTAAAATAAATAAAATTTTGTGAGATGGAGTACAAATAAAAAAAATATTTCTTAGTGTTTTGCTAACCAATAATTAACTTTAAAAAAGAATACGGATAAAAAACTATTAAAACTAATAACTTGGAGGGTCACCTCTTGACTGCCCTGTTAATAATAATAATTGATTAACATTACTGTGGTCTTTGAAATATCATAGGACCTCACATAAGAGGTTGAGAAGAGAGAGAAGAAAAAAAAGAAGAAGAAAACCAAAATTGACCACCCAGAGAGAGAGAGAGAGAGAGAGAGAGAGAGAGAGAGAGAGAGAGAGAGAGAGAGAGAGAGAGAGAGAGAGAGAGAGAGAGAGAGAGAGAGAGAGAGAGAGAGAGAGAGAGAGAGAGAGAGAGAGAGAGAGAGAGAGAGAGAGAGAGATGGCAGGAGAGAAGATAGTGGGTGTAGCCGTTGATTTCTCATCATGCAGCAGGAAAGCACTAAAATGGGCCGCGGATAACATTATCCGTGACGGGGATCACCTTGTCCTGATCATTGTGCAACCTGAAGGTTACTATGAAGATGGCGAGATGCAGCTCTGGGAAGTCACCGGATCACGTATGTATCTTCTCTGTCTCTTCTTCTGTTTTTTTTTTTTTTAATATGTTACTTTCTGTTTGTTTTCATGGAAAATCTTTCATTTTTGAAAGAAAATGCATTGTCGTGTGCGTCTAAGGATGGAATATTCCATCGGTTGTTTTGTTCTTATTATTTTTCTTTCCTTGGATGTTCATCTCTTCCTTTTCCTTTTATATTTGTTATTTTCTTGGAAATTCTGACTCTTCAAATTAACAAAAAGGAAAAGTTTCAATTTAATTTGGATAACTTGACTGCCATTTTACTGGGTTTGATGTAATGGGAGTTTTGTGATTGTTATATCTGTTGACCGTTGGTCATATTTTGTGCTTGTGTTATTTATCTTTATTCTAAAGGGTGTTCGTTTACTTGCTTTCTCTGCAGCTATGATCCCTCTATCAGAGTTTTCTGATCCCGTGACCATGAAGAAATACGGGTTGAAGCCTGATCCTGAAACTCTTGATCTTCTCAACACTGTTGCTCACCAGAAAGAGGTTTGTATATAAGCATAATCCTCGTCAAAATCATGGATTAATCATTAATTAAATTAATTATTGTGATAATATTGCAAGTCCTAAAATAGAGTGTTAACCATGTTGTCGAATTGTAAGTAGATCGTTGTGGTGCTGAAGATCTACTGGGGAGACCCTCGTGAAAAGATATGTGAAGCAATTGATAAGATCCCTTTGAGTTGCCTTGTAATTGGCAACAGAGGACTTGGCAAGGTTAAGAGGTACAGTAATCCCATCATAGATTTGGCTTCAATTCGTTTATTCATTAAACTGTAATGTGGATTCTTTATATTTTTCTGTGTTTGTCTTCAATGGAAATCATTTTAATTCTTGTGATGTCGCATACTTTCAATTGGCTAATGATGTGAAATCAATGAGCCATGATATGAAGCATGTTAGACCTTTTCAATCTGGACCTTGCAGGCAAGAATATTTTAGATAAGGTTTTCCTATCCTGTTTGTTCACTGCATATGATCCACAGTGATGGACGGAAAGAATTTTCCGAGGCACATCGAATTTTTCTTTTTTCCTTGTCTAGTATGGAAAAGAAAACTGCTTTTAAACAATGGGCCCAAGTGCTGTTTTCCTTTTTTTGTGCTTGTGGTCAGATCTCTAATGGTAGTGATATGGAAAGAGATGGAGGTAGATATTATGTGTTCAACTTGTAGCAGCTAGGTTTGTTTAAGTTCGTCTGGGCACTAATTGAGGTCCCTTGGCTGGACTCCCTGACCTAACTTGAACATGGGATTTTTTTTTTTAATTGTTGTTTGTTTGTACTTTTGCAGGGCCATCATGGGTAGTGTAAGCAACTATGTGGTGAATAATGGATCCTGCCCTGTTACTGTTGTGAAGCAGTCGAACCACGAACCGTAAGCCCATTTACCCTTTCCACGAAGGATAATCGCTATGTTCTCTTTGGATTGAGCTTGGATTTCTTTTGCTGTCTAGGAGCTTAATTTGCATGGCATGTGAAATTATGCTGTATCAAATAAGGATGTTGAATGTTGTCTGTTACTTGTTGAAGTTGGACAGGTTTCGGAATATAGTATGTATGCAACTAGAACTCACAGACCCCATCAAATGTTAACAGCTCTCTGCATTCTAAACATACATGAAGCGGAATTATCCAACGTGTGATTGTGCTAATAGATAGCCTCACCCACCATGTTAATAACGAGATCGACAGGAGCGATGGTTAAATCCTTAGTAGTATTCAGAGAGGATCGCTTCAAGTCAATATTCTAATCGACAAAACAATTGAAGTTGTTTTGTCGAAGGGCTATTTTTCGGTCAAATTTTATACCATTGGGCACGCTCAGTTACAAGTTTTTTTTTTTTGTTAAATACAAAAACAAATATAAATAGTTTCAAAAATATAAACCAAACCATGGTTAGACTCCGGGAAATAATGCTCGTTTCCTTCCAACAAATCAACTTATTAAGTCATGAATTCAAAAAATTTTAGTTCTCACGTTTTTTATTCTTTTGTTATAGTATTTAATATGTAAGGGAATATGGGGTTAAATCAGAGGCTTTGATGCAAACAAATTCCTTTTATTTTCTTAAGTATTATTTGCCACCACCACCTTGAATAATCTGTTGAAGGGTTTAGAGCAAGGAACTTTGAGGATTAACCAAAACTCTCCAAGAATCAAGATGGACAATTTCTAAAGTTCACATCAAAGAATACTCAATAACAAATTCTAGAAGAGAAGAAAGGAGAAGAATGTATTATGTTTTCTATCCTGTAAATGCTCTTATTTTACTACTGTTTTGGGTGAAAAAAATTTGATTTTTTGAACTTTTTGCATGGTTAGTTAGCCTCCCAATCAACTTTCGCACACGAAGTTAATTTATCTTCCGATATACTGCTATTTTATCACTTCCTTCAAGAATATTAAGATGTTCTTTACACGTTTTGATCCAGAAAAATATTTCAGGGACCACCTTTTCCTATCCCTTGTTCCACTGATTTTACAAACTAGAAACCTAATGTTCCAAGTTCATACACAACATACCAAGCTTAATCATATGGAATCTGAAAAGTAATCAAAAGAAACTCCTTTAAAATTCTTCAAAGGACTTGATACATGATTGCTGTAATCTTCTCTCTCCCTTTCTCTCGTGACGAGGCCTCTTTCAAATTCCGTGCTATAATAATTCATAAGCTACTCATTAGGGTCATTCTAGTCTTACATTTGTCACGTAGCTTTTTGAATGTACTAATATCTTGGCTTTAAAAGAGCAATGGTCTTGATATAGTCTTCAAATGTCTCCCCACCTTTCCCCTTTTCAATAAATATCTACACCGTGTTTTTGTGGTGTAAACTGTGCAATATTTGATGCTTAAGTTTTATGACGCTGATTCTAGTTTTAAAAAGGGAAATTCTTCGGGAAGAAAGATGTCTGGTGAAAGTGTTGATGTGAACAGAACATTCCATTTTGAAGCAGTTCGCAAGAGCAATCAAGTTCCTAAGAGGCGTGCAATGGATGTGGAATTTGATGAAGATGATAACATAGACGAGGAAGTACGTTACCTTGGAAGACGCAGTGCTTATAAGGAGAGAAAAAGAGATATCAATGGTTTCAGATGGCAGGCAAGAGGATAAGAATTATTAGCAAGAAGAAATGAATCAAGTTGATGAACCTAGATACACAATCAAGAAGCTGGGATTCGTTGGAGGAAGGAATGAATCAACTACAATCACACATGAACAGGCTCTTCAGACAGTCAAAGATGATTTTCTTGTGCCTGGCACCAGTCTTCTCGAGTTCTCAAATGTTTTACCTTCACCCCCTCCTAAAAGTGATTGTTTCTCTGTCTATATGTTCTTTTGGATCAGTCTCATTTTACATCTTGGATAGGGAATGATATAAGATAAAATTATTTTACACCTTGAGTAATAGTGTCTTGATGCTAAACCTATTTTGTTTCCTTTACTGGTCTGTTGATGGCAGAACAAAAGACTAAGCTCTCTGAAGTAGAGCAGCAATTAAAGAAAGCTGAGGCTGCTCAGAGGCGTAGAATACAATCAAAGAAGGCAGCTAGGGAGGCTGAGGGGTGCTAATCATGCCATATGGTAGTTTTACAACTTATTGGCAATGGATGGGAGAACAGTCTAACTTCATTTATTTTTGGCTGAGGCAATCAGAAAAATATGCTGCCTGGATTCTGAAAGAAAGAAGGAAGAAAGATTAAGAAGCGGCACGATGAAGTGGTTCAGGTATTTGGAAAATAGACAGGCAGCCTTTATCTTCTCCATCCCATGGTCTTTAGCAGCATTCTAATCAAGAATAAATTTTACCTGTTTCCGTCAAAGGCTTCCATGATGGATCGGTTGGACCAAATACTGTTAGATGGGTCATTGGTCCGACTGGAACTTTGGCTTATTTTCTCTGATGACATTGGTTTGCCACACATATTTAATTCAGTGTCGTGCAGGTACAAGTTCACCTTCTCATCTCCCCAAGTTTTGTCTCTACAATGCTCTGTAGACCGTAAATATTGGCAATATATTTTGCTCTGCAGACTAAGTATTGGCATTTTGTTGATTGTTAATTACAACTATCCTTACCTTCTTCGTGGGATTTACAATGTGGCGATTTGATTTGCAGTTATCCTCCACCCCGTGAAAAATGTGCAGGTCCAAATTGTACAAATGCCTACAAGTATCGAGACTTGATGTCGAAGCTCCCCTTGTGTATAGCCTCCATTGTTACAACTATGGAGATTTACAATGTGGCGATTTGATTTGCAGTTATCCTCCACCACGTGAAAAATGTGCAGGTCCAAATTGTAAAAATGCCAACAAGTATCGAGACTTGATGTCGAAGCTCCCCTTGTGTATAGCCTCCATTGTTACAACTATGGAGATTTACAATGTGGCGATTTGATTTGCAGTTATCCTCCACCACGTGAAAAATGTGCAGGAACAAATTGGACAAATTACTACAAGTATCGAGACTTGATGTCGAAGCTCCCCTTGTGTATAGCCTCCATTGTTACAACGCAATAAATGAAAAGATGCAGCTTTTAATTACCTGCTGATATCATAACTGTTCTTCCCAGGTCACTGAAAGAAATCGATGGCTGTTTATTTTGTAACCTTGTGTTGCTGCAAAGACGGCATGATTAGTCTCAGCGTGAGGTCGGTTTGGTCAAATATGATTTATAGCATTCCTTTGTCATATATTTTTCTTTTTCAAATATGAATGCACCCAGTCATTGAAAGAGAATTCTATGATTGTCCGGTTTCTCCTGGTAAAAATGTGTATGATTTCCAGTAACATTACCCGATAGATTGTTTGTTCAAGAAGGGGGATCCGAATGTCAACAGATAAGTTAATTATGGCCGTCTAAGAGAATGGCTAAGACCCGAATTCAGTTCATTGCAGACTAGCCCTGATTCTCCGCTTTCGGCATGCACACATATCAATCTCTTGCATTCCTCTAGTAGAAAAATGGCCGAGGATGGAAAATTGCGAGGTCCAACAACTTGGATGGTTAGGGTCCTGTGAAGTGCACACTAAGGATTATGCTTATGAGAGGCGTTTACAACGATCAAATAAAGATAATTAAAATACTTACAAATTTGTCAATGTAAAGGTAACGCGCCTCCACATTATTAATTACAATAATTAAGTAAAACAGATCATGATATATACTAAGAAATACAAACTCTCTGGATATAAAAATGCTATGGGTTTTTCTCCCCGTCTTTCTTTTTTCTATAAATCGTCCAATGAAATATCACTGCTTCTAAGATCCATCCACGAAGAGAGCGCCATATCCGCTAGATTTCATAAACTTCTTCAGCAAAAGAACCACAATCGCAATGGTTAGTCCAACAGCAGCCCATGTGAACAACCGATCATCAGCTGGTTTCTGAACCCTGGTCACTGGCCTTTGCAGTAGCTGATCACTTGGGTCTCTAGCAGGAATCTCTCTGGATACACTGGTTCCTGAAGGACTAGGGTTCACATTAACAGGAGCTTCATGCACTTCTTCGATGACCCTTTCACCTACTTCCTGAATTTCACCAACTGCTGGATTTGGAAGCTCTTCAGCAGCAGCTACTACTCCAGCATCTTGCGCCTGGGCTTCCCCCTCATTGTTGCCAGGGTGTTCTTCAGAACACTGCACTGAGTTTTGTTGAGGAACAGACGGTGCCTTACCAAGCATGTATTGATGAATCTGAGCCATCAAACAGTTTATTAGCACAAAATGTAACAAATGAAGAAAACCACAAGTAAAAAAAAGAAGCTCCGACAAACCTCATCAATGAGTTTTTGACGCTCAGGAGTCCCAAATCTTGGTGCTGCTTCCCGAGATTTAACAGCCAAAACACGCCTTTCCTCTTTCTTGTAGTCTAGTGAGCCCAATGCACCATTTGGGCTAGTAGGCATGAATGCAATAAGTGCTAGCAGAGCTGTTCGTACTGCCAACCACAATAACCAATACCATGAAACATCAGCCAAATGCAGGGCTACAGTAACAACACCTTTGAACTTTTAAAAAGTATCAGAGGCTTGTGTCCTTGAGTGTTAGACCTCAATAAGTGAAGAAAAAGGAAGCTCAAGGTTAACATTTTACACCAGGAATGACTTGGCATTCCAGTACACCAAGTCAGCCTTTTCCTAGTTAACATAAAAAATATGACCACAGCCAGTTATATGTTAACATGAAGTAACAAATAAAGAAATATTAGTTCTTCAAGTAAAACTGGATAAACAGATAGAGGCCAACAAAATTGTTCTTCTTCAACCAAGGCCTAAACATAGCCTAATCGTAGGGCACATTTCTGTGTATGATTGGATTGGCATATCAAAATCGAACTCATTCACACACTTCAATTAACTTAGTTCTAAAGAGAATTCGCCAAATCCTCTTTGCATATCAAATTTAATAAAATCGACATTAATGCAACCTGATAATTAGCTATCTATAAACATAATTTGATAAAGCCAACAATAGAAATTAAAAACTTACCACTCCACGATGGCTGCCAATGCTCAGGATGATGATTTGATATGCTTAAGCATATCTTCGTCTGCGTTTCGAAACGCCCATTTGGCTGTCAAAACAAAAACAAGAACAAAAAAAGTCATCAACCCATTAAAAATTTCAAAAAAATAAAATAAAAAAGAACAAGGGTAAATTCTTCATGAGGTATTACCGTCAACAACATAAAAGAAGGAGGCTTAAATGGATACTCAGCAGGCAATTGAATCCTCCCATGATAAATACCTCCTTCAAATTCAGTCTCTCCTGGTCCTCTTATAGCGAATTGCCACTCAAATATATTCTCCTATTAAAAATGAAAAAGAATATAACAAAAACACAAAATTAATAAATACTTTATTTTCAAATTGGACATACCTCAAGAGGGAGGCTCATGAAATCATCAGATGGGCTCGATTGCATCTCTCGAACTTCCTGTAAAATCCTCTTCACAGATGGATTTTTGAGGTTATACTTGTCCACTGCCATTCCTTTCCTTTAGGTCGTCTAATCTGATCTGATCGATCTACAAATACTACCGTTCTAGCTGACCAGAGACCGGTCGTATAGAGACTATATAAGTTCTGTGCGTAGGTAAGAACGGAGATTTACAGGAGAAGTTAAACAGATATTTGCATGTGTGTTGAAGCTGGAGCCAACGAAGACGACGATTTTTGTTGACACGTCATTCGATTCATAACTGGTCACGTGGCTTCCTGTTATTGGCTTCCATTGCTTGAAGGAATTGTTTATGGGCTGGGGCTGCTTCGAATTGGGCCTCGCTGAAAGGACAGGGTCATGGATAGATTTTTTTTCTTCGAAGTTGTAATACGGTATTCTCCAGATTCCGAGAACACGATATTCTGGATCTGGTGTCAGCGAAAGTTGCCGTGAGGTTATGAAATGTTTGAAGTATCAGAAAATATTTTTTAGTATTCAGCCGTATTATAAAAAATAAATTTAAAAATAATTTAATAATTAAAAACACTTTCTAATATCCTGTAAAAGTTGAAAAATTGATTAGTGATTTATTTCCAATCTTCCAAAATAGGATTTTCTTTGGCATGTTAGACTTGGACCATTAGATAACCCCATCGCCACAACTCTATTGCCCTTCTTCCTGATCTTCAATTTTTTTAAGTAAGAACAAGAGGAGGGAATTCGCCTAGCGGGGACTGGTTCGAGCCAAAATTTTTGCCCCTTGGCATTGGCATTGTTCGAGATCGAGGAACTTTCCAGTTGATAGCATCGAGCCCAGGCATTCCAGGTGTCATATCCACTGCACCAGTTATAGGACAAAATGTGAGCCACAGGAATGCCTTGTCAAATATTAGCGAGATAACACCCTTCAAAATATCTGGTGTTGTATTTCCAGAATCAATCGGTTGCCCTTTGAGAAAATCAAGCTTCTATGGTGTCAATTTGTTTAATCCTTTCACTGTCTTCAAAATGCGTTCCTTCTAAGAGAAATTCCCTCTTCGAGCTATACATAACACTTCAGCCTTGATCAGAGCAGGAGCAGACCCCACCCCTTGATTAGCATTGATTTGAGCCCTTGCAAACTGGAAGTTTAACTGGCCTTGCCTATTTGGAAACTCATTTCCTTGAATTGTTCCCTAAGATCTCTCCTCTCCAAGAGGTCCTGACCTACCAAGCCAATCACGGTAGTCTAGCTCATAATAACGACTTTGAGATTGAGGGCTGCCATCAGCGTGGCTCCAAATTGATCGTCACCAACAGACTCAGACTCAATTTCTTATCTGATTTTCAGAATATCCTCTGGCTTCAAGCTGCAAGTCACCAGTCTTGAAGGGGGGAGAATATTGAGAAACATTAGAAAGAGAAGCATAAGCATGGTCACTTGTTTGTGTTCGAGATCTTCTTTTTTTCCCCGACCCCAACGTACTTCACATGCAAGTCTAAGATCACCACTGCACCAATCATGTCTTTGGTCCTCTGCACGGTTGATGAAGGTAGAAGCAATGGATTATTTTTTTATCTAATTTTGTGACGCTTTCTGTCGCTTTGAGAATTATTTCTGAAGAAAGCCTTCTTTCTGTCAGGGCTATCTTCTGACTGCTGTGCATTTGTCTAGCTTTTTTTCTTTTAATATGCATGTATTGCCTGCTGACGGTGTTGGTAAATTTAACCCTGATATTCGTTCTCTGATATTGAAGTTCCTCCATATCCTTGTTACAGTGATCCATACAAGCATACAGGTTAAAATGAATTTTGTTCACAAACAATTTATACCTTCACATATATCATTGTATCCCACAACTGCAGGCTGTGTGTTTGAACTGTTCTCCATCAAGAACAAATAAAAGAAGAAAATTGCCATTAAAATCAATACCGGTGAAGGAATTGTTTGGATTCCAACCCTTCCTTTAAAATTACCATTGAACTTTAGATGTTATCTATGCTGTATTTTGTTGTTATCCGAATGGCATTTACATCGTAGACAATATGAGCGGCCTTGAGTGCATCAAACATATCAACCGAACAGTCACTACCTAAATTCCAAGTTCATGTGCTATGAAAATACCTCACTTATACTAAATTTCAGAACATAAATATCATTATATATATATATATAATAATATTGCAAATATTCTTCAAAACCAAAAAAATAATTTATAATTCAAAATACCTTTTACATTAAATAAAACTCAATCTTTAAAATAAAAATCTAAACTTAAATGACAACAACATTATAACAAAGCATTTAAGACATCAAATCATAAAAAATAAAAAAAGTCTCGCAAAAATAAACAAGACATACTAACAATCAAAATAGCAAGAACTCTTAATCAAAGATCAACTTGCTAATAAAAATTAAGAACATGAAATAATATTAAAATGGATGGATGAGTTCAATCAACTTAATAAAAGAATAATATTTAATATATATTTTAGTTATTTATAAGTATAAAGGTTGAAACAAATATATAGACATACACTAAACATAATAACATATGGTAATGTAATATATGTGAGAGATCAGACAAAACTATTGGCTTATATAACAAACAAAACTTTAAGGTTTTAATAATAGATAAGGTTTGTGGCCTTATAATTATTATGAGAGGATCAGTTGCTAAAGAATTATATTTTTTTATCAGGTATGTATATAGAATACTACATGCTTATAAATTAATTATATTTTGTTAATATGAAGTTACCAATAAGTCTGCTATCCAGTCATAATAAATATTTATATAATTACCAAAGTAACTAAATGTCATATTAAATATAATTTAATCCAACATAATGCAAAGATTTATTCAAGAAATTGACGAGTATTTGTAAATAAACACACACATATTTATTTATATTATATACATATTAAAAATTATCATACTCACCTATTAAATGAAAGCAAAAAAAAACTGAAAATTACTGATGATTTTTAAGAGTAACGTCAACAAAATCTATAACAAATACAAAAAAAATACTAAAA